GGAAGATACTTAGTCTTAAAATGATTTGAATTTGCTTGGGAGCAAGTTTTAGTCTGAAAAAGGTAAAGATACTTATACTGGGCCATGTTAAGCAAATTATTTGTAGACAAAATTGATGAAATGCTTCATTAAATGTATGATGTTCAATGAGAAAACTGGACTTTAATCATTCTTGTGTAATATGATCTAACATTAAATTTTCGCCTAAATTATAGCAGTGTATTATTGCTTTACCTGATAGGGCAGTTCTATCAATTGTAGCATAAAGTTCTTGGTGCTTTTTTTGGGTTACTTGTCGGACATTTAGTGAGAGCAGAAAAGTAACGCAAAAGTACCTGTCGGGTTCACCTGTTGTAAGAACTGGCGCGCAGGGCGGGCAGGTCTGTGTGTTTCTGGATTTAGTACATGGTAGTTGAACAGTCAGTAACTTTGTCTTTGTCCCTTGGTATCAATGAAAGGGTAAAAACTGGTTTTGTTTACCTATATTGGGTGTGACTATAATAAAGCATTTTAGGTAATTTGTGTTTATGCATTGGAGTTTAAATGTTTGCAGAGTTACTGTATTCCGTTCCATAGACCACTGGCTTGTCAGCCATACTCCACAGTGAGAAGATGAAGAAAGTCCTGTGTCTTGAGTTAGTCATCTTGCGCTACTTTTTGAAACCTTTTTGATGTAAACACCACCAATTTAGATATAAAAACCTCTTATTGTCCTGATAGAATTTGAATGATGGAAGCTTGCTCAAATATTGGCTTTCTGTAAAAACATTGTGTTAAATTTAGACTCTTTGTAAAGCAATATCAATAAAATTGGCTGCTTGGGCAGTTTTAGTTACTACCTTACCCTGGTTTCTGCTGTGTTACTTCTCCCTGTAGGTTCCAAGTCACTCATTTTAGTTACCATCCCTGTGGACCAATAGAAAATGGCAAGTATGAGATAAACATGAGATAAGATATGTTTATGTAATCTAGTAGATCATAAAAGCTATAGTCTCTCTGAGGCCAGGCACCGTGTGGCTCATGCCTATAATCCTAGCACTTTGGGAGGTCGAGGCAGCGGAATTGCTTTGAGACCAGCCTGAGGAAGAGTGAGACCTCTGTCTCTGCAAAAAAATTGCAAAGAAATCATGGTAACACATGCCTGCAGTTCCCAGGTAACTCGGGAGGCTGAGGCTGGTGCATTGCTCTACCCCAGGGGTTGGAGGTTGCTGTGAGTTATGATGACCCCTCTGTACTCCAGCTTGGGAGGCAGAGCCAAGCCCCTGCAAAAAGTTCCCTCCCTCCCCCCAAAAGGTGCCTCTGCAAAAACAAAGAACTTAAAAACATTTTTAAATTTGGTTGTTGCTTTAAAGCAAGATTATGGCGGAGGGCTTGAGATGTGAATTGTATATATGCATATAAAATTCAGCAGTTCTTAAATTTGTACTTAGAATCAGGTTTTCTAATAGGAATGCTTGACCTTGGATCTCGGGAGAAAGACATCTTCCATGCTGGATACGTCAGCTATAGTAAGTAATTTTTTTTTTTAAATGGAGAATGACCAAGATGTTTTACATTTTATACTCTTGCCGCCGTTACGTACTTTGCTTCCATAGTGAAAACTTGACATCACCGTCATGTTCTTTCTAGACAAGACTTGTTGTAAAGCCGCTTGCCGTCTTAGTCATGTACAACTTCCTCTCACTGCTAATTCTTACGTCCCCTATTTCAAAGATTTTTAAAAGGAAAAAAGACCCTTTAATAGATGATTTCCTATTATGCTAATATTGATAAAATAGCCAGATAAGAGTTGGCCACAAGTGAGGTTTCTTTGGCTGTTGGCTACTGCGATCTAATCCGTGTAATGTCGTCTTATTCCTAGCCCCCTTACTTTGACGTCGGCTGTTGACTTAATATAAGCATCATGGTTTGATATTTACATGGAAGACCACCAACTAGTTTTATGGAAGGACAGCTTTACCCTTTAATGAACACAGGTAAAGTACGTTATGGAATTAGAAATATTTATTCAGAATATAAGAATGCTTGTAAAATATTATAAATGTCTCTGTATAAATAAATGGAGTTTATAAAAAACAATCCTATATCAAATAACACAGAGTAGCTATTTTACAGCAGCTAAAACTAAAGGCATCTGGAAACATTTAAAACATACAAGTGAAAAATCTAAAGAATTACAAGGTGTATAGTACAGTGTTAAGTAGCGGCTTTAAAATGAGACTTTGAGTACAAACAGGTGAACCGTACTGATAACGGCAAACTTAAATCACATGTCCTTAATAACAGACAGTACATTCAGGCAGGTTTTCCTAATAATTCAAGTGGTATAAAAGCACATTTTTCAACTAGGAAACTAAAATCTCATGCAAAGTAAGTCTTGACAAGATGTCTAAAAACGGATTAGAAATAGAAAAGAGGCCAACATATTTCATTATCTGTGCATTAGGTTGAATCAAAAGCATAGCGTGGGGGGCTTTCACTTGCTATGTGGCAGTCTTGACACAGCACTATAAGTGAATACTATGAGTTCTACAAACAGAACTTTTTTTCACATGAATCTGATTCGCAAAAAGTGCAACACTGGTAGAGGAAGTTCTTCTAAACTAAGCAGGGCATGGGGGTGCCGGTGGGGGACTTCTGTGTCTGACTTGCTCCTGTTCTGCTGAGCTAATCCGGATGATTGTCAGGGGAATGACTATGGGAAGATTCAGAGCTAAACAAGGACGTGGTTATCGGGCGGCTCCTGTGGGGTCTAAGGAGTAGGGCACCAGCCCCGTATGCCGGAGGTGGCAGGTTCAAACCCAGCACCAGCCAATAACTGCAAATATCTGGTGGGAGTTACTGTTTGGGGGACTGTTTTTGTCTTGATCACCTGCAAATCTCATTCGGATGTAATCTTATCTATCCAGTATAATTCATAACCAAAAATACGATGGTTACAGGTATTAGCAAAGCACGAGCACGGGATAAGCTGCTGTTCAACTTTGGTACTCTTTTCCACTTGATATTTTATCAGCGATGGAGTGCTCAGTGATGGCTGCGGTGACAGCAGCCAGCATCACATTAATTGATAATTCTCTTTCCAGTTCTAAAGTTAGTTCCTGGCAGCCAAATGCATCGCTCTCTTAGTGAATACAAACATCTTAGTGAGTAACTTCAAGCGTGAGGAGGAAGCCCATAGGTTCAGCGCTTGCTTTAACCCAACCTGTATATAAACCCAAGATTTCAGTTGACAACAGTTAAGATTTTTGTTTTGCAACAAGTTATGCCTTTTTTTTTTTTTTTAATCAAGTGAATGCCAGGAAAAAGGTCATGACTCTTCTACCAACTCTATAGAATTTGCAAGCCTTAGTCAGAGGTGAGTCAAATGTATTATTATTCCATGTCAAATAACACTGTTCCACTGGAAAAAGTTATGATTTTTTTTTCTGAATTTTTTTATAGTGTTCCCCAAAGCTGTCACCCTCTGCAGAAAAAACCAAAAACATGACTTATGTTCCCCCAGCCCTGCACAAACACCTTGGCAACAGCATGGCTACACCCTAATTAAGTTCAGTGCAGAAATCTCAACCATTAGAGACCGCTGTCCCTGTTGGGCTCTAAAACAGAACTACAGTTCTATTTCCTGCCTCTAGAAGTGGGTGAAGCTATAAATAGTTCATAGAACAAATGGGATATCTTCTATTTATGTGTTTGCAAATGGCTTAAAGCTGTGTGGAGGAAAGGACACGGAAATCATTAAGTTTGGGCATTTTTCTGTAGTCTTGATATCACCCTTAAAACATAAGCATGAGACTCTTGAAAGCTTTGAGTTTATAGAATTAAAAAATAACTGCAGGGTAATTTTTGTGGATCATAGGGAGCACATTGAGAACAGACAATGATGTAGCTTCTTGTTACTAATGTAGAGAGTCTAGTCCTGATTAGGGATTTTTTTTTTTAAATCCCAACTATGGGATTTTTTTTTTTAAATCCGTATTTAGGTGGGAACTAGAAGACTTTTAACTTATTTCCAGTTTTCCTCAGAGGAGTAAAAATCTTCACTACTCCCTCATCCTAATGGTTTGTAATTTGGACTGCCTTTCTGCGGTACAGTGGCGAGGCTCTGATTTCGAGTTCTCTGAGGTCCTGGTTAAGCATTGTTGAGGGCCAAGAGGAAGACTTAGTAGGAAATACACGCATCAGAACGGAGAATTCAGGGATTGTGTTTAACTGGCACTTACTTTTTTTAATCTAACATTTCAGGTTCAGGTAGCATGGACATTAACTGCGGAAGCCTGTTGCTAGCAGGTGAGGGTGAGTATGAAGCAGTTAACTACCTCCTGGGGCAATAAAATGTCTTGTGCATAAATGGAGTTAAAGCATGAGAGGGGTGGCATGATAGATCTCAACTATCTGATCACAGATTACGTAGTCCTTAGTAACTTTAAGGAATCTTCCTGTCCACCACCCACGGCAGTTTTGGTAGCTGTTTCCCTTGGGGCTGGGGGGACAGCAGAGCCGGCTGGTAGGCTCACACATCAATGGCGCTACAGCTACGGACCGAAGGCTCTTTGGCCTTAGTTGGTTTTATTTGCCTCAGTTTGGTAGTGGGAAACAGTCTTTCAAGGGAAATGGATCCTTGTGTTCCATGCTCCTTTTTCAAAGAGCCAAAGACTATACTCTGAATAGGGAGATGATTACCTGAAAGGGGGTAACCACTGGGGAGACTGGAGAAAATAAAAATAAATTCTGAAGGTTTTAAACTTAATACACTTGAAAATCAACATCCTTGTTTACCCTGATGGAGGTGTTAATGTAAACCAGCTCCTATTTAGACGGAAATTCAGGTAGAGAGCCAGGTTATACAAAAAGAAAAATTACCCAGGCACCTGCAGCCATTTATTGAAATCAGTACAGTTCAGTAGTTCCCGAAGTTAGTGGAACCAAGTGCCTGCTAGTTCACCTTCAACAAGCATTGTATGTTGGAGCATTTGAAAAATACAAGAAAGGAAGTCAACTATTTTATAGCTTTTTTTATTTTACATAATTATAAAAGTAACACTTGCTTAGGAAATTGTTTTCACCCATATCACCACATATTTGAAAATATTTTATTGAAGTATAAACTCAAACTAAGGCCAGGTAGGATGAGTAATACCAGGGCCCATAAAGGGAGCTGAGGCCTCTTCTGTCTGGAGGAATTATAGGACCTAACAGGTGGGTGCTTGGATTTTATTCCTGCTTCAGCAGCGGGTTTGTCGCAAATGAGAACTGTCCGTTTTGATCCTGTTCAAGCACAAAAGAGAAAGCCAGGCCCGTCCCACTTTGTTCAGAGGTGGAGCTTTCCCTGGACAAGCTGAAACATGGTGCAAACTGCAATTGAATTTTTTTTTCCTACATAATACTTTTCATCCAAAACATTTTCTTTGTGACAAAAATGCCACTTTAGCTGAAGATTGAAAATGACTCTTTAAAGATCACAAGAATTAACTTTGACCAAATGATAGAAACAGAAGCCAGTGGGCTTTTTCACAGTGATCAAAGCACCCACCAGTTGGGTCCTTCCTACTAACAGGTGATCTGGGTGGGGATGGAGAAGGGCTGCTGCACTGCTGGCCTAAGCATGGTGGTTGCATTTAGGATAAACCAGTCCGCCCTCCACGTGGTGGCTGGAGTATTATTCCCCCTCCCATAGAGGCTGGGTAATTTGGATCATGCTCTCTAAAAACAGATCCACCCAAGATTTATGGACATCAGGGCTTGACTACAGTGACCTGTAGTAGAAACTTCAATTTGTGGTTAACTGTGGCATTGGAAACATTTCTTACAGGGAAGCTTTGGTGGATTCTCTGGTGCTACTAAAAAACCGGTAAGTGGTCCTCTAAGTGTATCAATTGCTGTAGAAAAGGAAGAATGGATTTATTCTTAGATAAAAGACTGCCCTGAAAGAATTTAGGTAACTTGGTCCTGCCTAGCCCTGTCAGCATTTGGTTTGATTTTAAGCACCATGTGCCTAACCGTCACCATGGAGGGGAAAAAAAGACTGTAACACCCATTTCCTCACCCTGTCCCCTTCCTGGCAGCAGGAACTAAGATTTGAACTGTGGGTTCAGTAGCACTTGTAAGTAGGTGGATCAGTTTTGCAAAACATTCATTATCGCCTCCGCCTTTGACAACACGCAGCCTCTCACCGGTATGTGGAGACAGGTCCAGTGCCGCACAGGTATTCACGTGGACAAGTTTTAATTCAGCAGAACAGCAATTACGTAGTTGCCCTGGACTAGGAAGTGCTCTGCTCTGAAGAAACCCTTAATAAAACTTTATTTCCAAAAATAAAAGAGAAGAAATTTTGGATGCCAGAAGATAAGCCCACTCTGCTAACAAGAGAATAGAATGGAAAATCTTACAAAAACAAATGCCTGGGTGGGAGGGAGGGAGGGAACAACAATGAGCTGGACAGCAGCAGCCAGGTTGCTGAGCACAGGTGCAGAGCCCCTGTCTACCTGCCCTCGGGGCCTGGGAAGGGAGCAGTAGGATCCTCTGAGTACGGTCCACACTGTCACCAGGGCCACTCAACCCCAAGAGCTGAGTCTGGGGCACTCCACTGTCCCAGTGCTGACCCACCGTCCCTTTCCTCATTCTCCCAACAGGTACTCTGTCTCCCGGGGCCCTTGTCTCCTCTGGGGCCTGCTAGAGTTTAGCTCCCACAGGCCAAACTTTGTGCCCACATGCCGATTACACCATTAAAGGGAGGTTTCATTGGTGTGGGGCCTGGAGTTCTCCTCCTCCAGCAGAGCAATTCTCTGCTTGAGCATCCGGACTTGGGTCTCGTGTCTCTCCACCATGGCCATCATCTGCGACTCCAGCTTCTTCAGTTTGTTCTGATGCTTCTTCTTTGCTTTCTCATAGGCAGCTACCAGGTTGCTATGTGGGAGCAGAGGGAAACGAGAATGAAGAGTCATCCTAAGCAGCATTACGACACACCACAGTCCTGTCCTCAGTAAGATGGAAGAGGCCCAGCACCTCCACACTCAAGGCTACTGGCCTGCTAGCCCAGCCTGACTGCTGGAGGCTGTCACTCACTCGGAAGGGGCCAAGTCCAAAATCGATAAGAAAGGTAGCTGAATTCCAGAAATCTGGCATTAAATCCAGATAGCCGGTCTGTTTGTTACTCGGTGGCTGCTTGCAACAGCCGGTTGAGTCTGAGGCACTGTAGTCTGATTGCCCTCACCTGGGATGAGGGGAGAGCGGCTTATGGCTTGAGACCTCACTTTATGCTTTAGGCTGGCAGGATTCAGAGCGCGTGGTAAGGACCTAAGCTACTGCTGCCTAGCCAGACAGAATATAGGCCTCTGAACTGGCCCCACCAGAACTCAGAACCCAGGGGGGAAGGAGGCCAGGTAAGTACAGATGACCTCTGCCCCCCAGAACAGCACCCCTGTATCCCTGTCATGTATTGCTGCTAGCCCACCAACTGCATTCTCTAAGTGCTCTGAGATCCCAACCCCTGGTGGTTCCTAAAATCCTTTCAGGGGGCTGTGAGTCTTGGTCTTTATGTCCAACTCCAGTGCTGCATGTAGCCGGGTGCTCTAGGCAGGCATACTTCCAAATAATGTGTTGGCTGCAGAGGCACCTCTGAGAACCCAGCTGTCTTCTAAGTGGTCAGAATGGTGCCACCTGTCCAATTATTTTTTGGAAATATAAATTTTGCATAAAAATAGCACTTATCTGGCAAATTTATTTTTATAAATGAATTAAAATTTTTTTTAAATGTTTGTCTTCTTGATTTTGGTTGCTAAAAGGGGAAGTATTGATGAATATAATTTACAGGAACAAAAGCTCTTTGAGGGCCTCAATTTTTTTTTTACAAACATAAAAGAGTACCTGAGACTGCTGGCTTAGAGCACTGCACTGTGTTTTAAAGTGCTCCACTGAGCCAGGTGTCATGGCTCACAACTCTGATCCTAGCCCATTGGAAGGCCAAGGCAGGAGGATAGCTTGAGATCAGCCTGAGCAACAAAGCAAGAGTCTGTCTACAGAAAACCCTGGAAAATTTAGCCAGGTGTGGTGGCAAGTACCTATAGTCCCAGCTACTCAGGATGCTGAGGCAGGAGGATCACTTGAGCCCAAGAGTTTAAGGTTGCTGTCAGCTATGATGATACCAGCACACTCTAGCCCAGGCAACAGAGCTTGTTTCAAAAATAAATAAAGTGTTCCACTGGATATTAAATGTTGCCCAAAACATTCTGTAGCCAACTTTGTTTGGGAAAAAAAGGTTTTTGGGGGACAGTTTGACTTTGTTGTTCTTGGTAGAGTGCTGTGGCATCACAGTTCCCAGCAACCTCAAACTCTTGGACTCAAGCAATTCTCTTGCCTCAGCCTCCCAAGTAACAGGGACTACAGGTGCCCTCCACAATGCCCAGCTGTTTTTAGAGGTGTGGGTCTCACTCTTGCTCAGGCTGGTCTTGAACCTGTGAGCTCATGCAATCTACCCGCCTCAGCCTCCCAAAGTGCTAGAATTATTAGGAGTGACCCACCATGCCCAAACACACATTTTTCATTGCGTGAGTTCTCAGAACTTACTATATGAAATACCAAGAAATGAGCACACAGTATGCTGCATTTTTTGGGCCAAAGGATCCATGTTTCCTGAGCATGTTTTAGGTCTCTATGGGACACCTGAAGCAAGCCAGGACTCACCACTCTCTAGTTGGTTCCCAGGAGTTATGTCCTCCCTGGTGCTGGATCTACATCAGGGCATCAGTCTAAGTACCATGGGGCAGGTCCAGGGAGGTTTTACCTGTTGGCCCGTTTGAGGTCATTAACGAACTCCGCCGACTGCTGATGCCGGATTTCACTGCTCTTAGTGAGTCTTTCCAAGGCACTCACCAGCTCCTGAACTCTGGCCTTTAATTTCTTTTCTCTATATCCAGAAAAACAAAACATGCCATAAATAAGAAGTTTGAGATGGTGCTAGAGGTGGCTACTACCCTGATCACAGTGGTAGATGGAGGGGAAGGTTTAGCATGAAAAGTCAAAACATGGGTGAGAAGAGGAGGATACTAACGGGCAGGGAGCAGGGCTGTCACTGGGTGGACAGACACCTCCCCACTGCCTTCTCAAGGGCTCATTTGAAGGCCCTTGAAAAAGTATGGGAGGGCACACCATTCTCTCCCCCTCATCTTTCCCTGTTCTCTTTCCTGTCTTTTACTCATCTCTTACCCCATTCTTTCCCCTTTCTGTAATATGAAATAAATGTATACTTTTATATCCTAAAATAAAAAATCTTAAGTATGTGTTACCAAGGAGCAAGATAGGAATTTGTTTCTAGGCTTCCAAACCGGAAGCCAGGCTAACGAAGTTCCTTTCTGGGACTGACATCTCAGTTGTGGGTGCAGCCTGACCACAAGACTGACTCTTGGTCCCCCTCCCTTTTCCAAGGGTCCTCAAAATCTCCTGAAGCACCAGGGACTCTGCAACACAAACCTGTCTGGGCCGCACTGCCTTCCTCGGACAGACGTCCACTCACTGAAATAGGCCCCCACCGTCACAAACAAGAGTGGTAGTTGTGATGGGAGTAGAAAACTGATACTGCTTTTTCTCTGAAAGGTCCTTGTTTCCCATTAGCGTCCCTAACTTGAACTTTTGATGACACTTACTCTACAGCTGAAGCAGCTTCACGTTCCCTGTGCCCTTTAGGGCCCCAGGCTCATGGACTGAGTCGTTGAGACAGGTGCCAGTCAGCTCACTGCTCCCACATGAGCACCAGACCCAGGTGGGGAACCATTCACTAAGCAGTGCTTCCCTGGCCACCCCCACTTCTGAGGTCCCTCTGTCACCACACTATGCTATGTTGGGTGCATGTCCCTGGAGCTATCAGGCTCTGCCACTCAGCTTTAGAGTGGCAGTGACCTTACTTGGTTGGGTTCCAAGTATCCCTAGCACAGGTGGCCTCTGCCCGGGTGAGAGCTTCCAGTGACTATCAGCCAGCTTCAGAACTCGCTGAAGGCACTGGGTATGATTTAGGGAAGAAACTCCTCCAGGACTTACTGTGAGTGGGGGGATGTAAATTGGCACGATTAGTTTATAAGGCCATTTGGTAGGATGTAGCAAAGAAAAAAACAAACGTATCCCTTAATTAATAATAAACTTGATGGCCAGGAATGTGTCTTACAGAGGCCGTGTGAATACAGGCTCTTGAAGGCACATCAGTTATGGCTGGATTCACTTCAGCGCTGATCGTAAAAATGAGAAAGAACCGCGCTACTGAAATGCTGTGCTTAAAATAACTTCAAAAATGCAAATCGAGACACACTGGCCTGGAAGGGTATCTGACATCTTAGATGAAAAGGCTGCATTCTACAGGATGTCATTTGTAAAAACTAGAAATCAGAATGTAAACGTCTGACACTGTGATGACAAAACAGAAGGCTAAACACGAACTCGGCCAAGGTGACAGAGCTCTCATTTTCAGTTTTACAGTTTTGTACGCTTTTTGCAAAGTACATGAGTGGGACTCCCCTGGGACTGGGACTCCCCTGGGATGGTGACCTGGTCAGGGAAGAAGATGCTTTTCAGGTGCCCAGATGACTCAGACCCTGGTTCTCCCCTTCCTGGCTTTTCAAATATTTAATGTAGTTTCTGCCTCTGGCTACTGTGAGGGCAAGTCAAGCTCTCCAAACCGATTAGTGAGGAAGGGATGCACCACGTAAAACTCGCCGATTCTGCCAGCGAGGACAGGGTGGGGAAGCCCAGCCAAGGTCTGCAGCTTAGCGGGCAGATCAGAGGTCAGAGGGGGACAACCAGCTGTTTGCCCTGGCTGAGGAGAGTTTCTCCTGGGCTCTAGCAGCCACCCAGAAATTTCCTCAGCTCTGGCTGCATTTCCTGCTGGAATCTGAGAGTGGCAGCATTTCCTATCAGAAGTGAGAACGTGTGGCCGGAGGACACTGCCAGCCCTCCAGCAAGAGGAGGCTGGGAGAGCCCCAGGGGTTCTCTCCTTCCCTCCAGCTAAATCGTCCTACATTCTGTTACTGTTTAGATTCCTTTATCTTTCACGCTAATGTTAACAGAGCAAAAAGGAAAGCAGAAAACTGGGAGGAATGTTAGCCAGGAACTGAGAAATTAACAAACAACTTTCCCAGAGTACACCATCACTGCCTCCCCTAGTCACACCCACACCCAGCAGGTAGGGAGAGTAGGAGACCCAGCCTTACCACGAAACAATGGCTGCTTTCCCCATCACCTAGGCCCTTAGGGGACATGAGGGAACTTGCCAGACCTAGCAAGTTTCAAAGGAGAAGCAGCCCAGGGGGCCAGGAGAGCTCCCACAGACCCTGCTCTGGGAGCTCAGAACTAACTGCCTGGGCTCAGGAAGGGAGAGGGAGGGAACGGCTGGTAGAAACTCTAGGAAGGAACTAATCATAGCATTAGCTGATTTATTTAAAGATATAATGACAGCCAAACCTCAAACCTAAAATTTGGGTTACCCTACGTCTTTCATTTGAGTGAGGAAGACACCAGAAAGGGAGGGGTAACTGCAGCATCACTCTTGGGGGTGTAAAGGAACGCCAAGCTACTGACCAGTGACCCCTTCTGTGGACCTGTGGGTTGGCTACAGTGAGGACCGGTGCACATGTGGCTATGTGAGCCCTTAATGTGGCTGGTCCGGATTGAGATGGGCTGGAAGTGTAAAATGCATCCTCGGATGGGAAGACAACATACAAGAAGTAAAATATCTGAGTAACAATTTAAAAAAATATCACTATGTTGAGCTATTTTAGATACATTTGGTTAAATGTTATTAAAGCTAATTTCATGTGTCTTCACATTTTTTAACATTGAGTACTAGAAAATTTAAAGTTACACATGTGCCTCGCATTTGTGATTCATATTATTGAAAGGGCAGCCTTGCAGAAAATAACAGGAAAATACCTCTTTTCCCCATTGACAATTAAAGACCACTTCTCTGCACTGCTTTGGGAAAAAGCTAGGCAGGTGAATCTTTCTCTTTTAAATTGGTTTGGAGGCCACTGGGTGGCTCCCGCCTATAATCCATAGCACTCTGGGAGGCTGAGGCAGGTGAATTGTTTGAGCTCAGGAGTTTGAGATGAACCTGAACAAGAGACCCGGTCTCTACTAATAATAGTAAAAACAAGCCAGCCATGGTGGTGGGCACCTGTAGTCCCAGCTACTTGGGAGGCTGAGGCAGAAGGATCTTGAGTCCAAGAGTTCGAGGTTGTTGTGAGCTGTGATGATGCCACAGCATTCTACCTAGAGTGACAGAGTGAGACTCTTGTCTCTAAATAATAATTAAAATTGCTTTTGAGAATCTGCTCTCCAGTTTTGAGTTCTTGAATGAACAAGGGGAGTTCAAGCTTCAAGCGTCAACACCGGGCAGAGTCACACCTCCTGTGATAGAGGCTGTTTCCAAAGAAAGGCAGGGAGCCAACAATTGGGCTCTGACACCTGCGGACACTTCTGTTATCAGCCTGCTGCTGGGGAGGAGCAGGACAGATGCAGCAGAGTCCTGTTAATTTGGCTCCAGCCATAAGACTTCACTCCCTGAATAAAAAGCCAGAATACCCAGTTCTTTCTGCCACACTACCTCCTTCTCTTGCCCTTTTCCATTTCTTTCTATCCTAATCTTTGGAGAAATCTTCTCAAAACCCCTGTGCACTAGCTCACAGCCTAACAATCTAGAGCATTTGTTAATATACCAGGTCTTTTCCCTGGATTCTGATTCAGTGGGCTTGGGTTAAGACCCAGGAATTGTAGTTTAACAAGTGCCCCCTTTGATACTTCTTACTGGGCAACTCTGGGAATGCAGACAACTTCCTCACCTGGCTCTGAGGATGGCAGCCTGTGCTCTTGCAACTAACTCCCTTAACTTGCATGCAAAACCACAGATGGGGTGCACTTTCCTGAAGCCTTCCTCAGATTCTCAAAGGATAACTTGGAAAATACTAAGAATCAGGGCTCCAATCCAAGTCATTCTTTTAACTTTTTTTTTTTTTTTTTTGGAGATAAAGTCTCACTATGTTGCCCTTGGTAGACACATGGTGTCACTGTTCACAGCAACCTCAAACTCTTGGGCTTAAGCAATTCTCTTTGAGACAGAGTCTCACTATGTCACCCTCAGTAGAGTGCCTTGGCGTTATAGCGCACAGCAACCTCCAGCTCTTGCGCTGAAGTGATTCTCTTGCCTCAGCTTCCCAAGTAGTTGGGATCACAGGTGCCCACCACAATGCTTGGCTATTTTTTTGTTGCAGTTTAGATGGCCCAGGCTGGGTTTGAACCGACTGTAACCACTGTGCTACGGGTGCTGAGCCTCAGGTGATTCTTTTGCCTCAGCCTCCCAAGTAGCTGGGACTGCAGGCGCGTGCCACGATGCCTGGCTATTTTGTTGCTGTAGTTGTCATTGTTACCTGGGCTGGGTTTGAACCTGCCAGCCTCGATGCATGTGGCTGGTGCCCTAACCACTGTACTATGGGTGCTGAACCTTGTTTTGTTTTTAAATTTCAGAATATTATAGGTCCTCCTAGCTTCTAATTCAAATTTTCTGGTCTTTCAGTTAAGAACATAGATGGTTTGTGTTATGTAAGGCAGTAAGGCCCCAAACGAGCACTTTCTGAAGGTTCCCACGGAGGAGCAAGTAGAAGTTAAACAATACACGGTCCATATGACCCCACGGAGGAGCAAGCAGAAGTTAAACAATACACGGTTCACATGACCCCACGGAGGAGCAAGTAGAAGTTAAACAATACACGGTCCATATGACCCC